ATTGTTTGTTTGTTTTTAACTTTGAATAATGGTTTGGAAGAACTATTCCTACTTGAAAATTTTGCTTATCTGATAATTTGCTATAATTTATATTGTCCATGTTGCTTAATTCAGTGCTAATTCAATTAATTTGTGTAACAAATTACAACAGCTAACAGCAGTATATTGTGGTATTTGTCCTTACTGAATGTAAATGATGCTTTAAGAATCACCGCTTTGCATATGTTTATTTGACAGGTGGAAAAAAGCAGTTTTGGATCTTTGTTTCAAGGATAGGGAATGCTCCATCAATTTTTATAATTGTTCTTGTAAATAACTTGCCAGTAGGACATTAATTTCTGGTTTTCGCTTAAGGACGGTAATCCGTTCCCATTGGAATGGATTACAGTGGTGCCGGCAACACTTTATATTGCTGCTGATTTTAAAGTAAAATAAGGTAGAAACTAGAGCATTACCTAAAACTATAATATAATAGTATTATAGGCAATACAAATAAACAGTTTTATTGTATAAAGGCAATAGCTAAAATTTACATTTTTGATACACACATGCACACCCAGTTGAGAACACGCTTCACTTCAGAAGGGATTGTGTCAGGTAAAATATCTATTGTCTTGGGCATACAAAAAGATACGTTCTATTGATAACTGTAATGGCTTTGCTTAAAGAATTGTTTTGGTTGACCAGTTAACCACCATTGTTCTTTAATAACTGATACTCTTTTGTTCAAAGTTCTATAACATTTTTGATCCATGTTGTACAAGTGAAACATTGACTCTATTAACACAACAGAGGTCCAGTACAGATGTAATACCATTGCCCTGTTAAAATGCTATTTAAACATTGCAATCCATTCCTGAGAATCTGCCCTCCTTTTCCTTCTCTGCCTCACCATTATCAATGATTTGGAACTGCGACACCTATCTATGCTGAACATCAATGGTCCTGTTGGGGCAGGGGGTAAGTAATGTTTCCCCAGCTGCCTTCTGGTTGGCAAACTGTACTTAACCAGGTCCCACTGCTGGAGTGCTATATACATAGTTTGATGCTGGTCTCTTTATTTGTCTTTTCTTTCTGTTCTAGAATCATGGCAAGTCCAAGAACAAGGAAGGTCCTTAAAGAAGTGAGAGTGCAAGATGAGAATAATGTAAGCAGTTCTGTGTGTACTCTTAGAAGCATATGATTCAGCGGCAGCGAGTCATCTTCAGCTCATATTAGAAAATCCCCTTTCTTTACTTCTTACATTAGGGTAGTGCAAAAATACACAGCCTCTGGCTGGTGGGCCTAATTCAAGTTCCCCATCTGGTCAGTCTTCTTCCCCAGCACCCACCAACCCTGTTACTGAGGATAGGATGGGTTCCCTAACATGCCAGCCTGTTCCCTTCCAAATGGGAAAATAGCTGATGTACTAAAAGGTCTCCTCATCATTACCTTCAGTCACAGATAACAGTTGGGACTACCCTTAAAGTGCCACTCATTGTCTTGCATGTCCTAACCATGGTCCCAGTTTGGACAACGAGTGGCGTGTGAAACAATGAGTGTGCGCAGCTAGTACTCCTAGAAGGTCCTGCAATTCTGAGGTCTGCGCTCGCTTGGCTTCTGGAAAGGCTGAGCAGGTGAGCTGTCTTCCTCTGCTATTTCCCCAGAGTTTCCTGAATCTACCCTTGTACAGTATGAAATAAAAGCCTGTTTCATGTTAGCCAGTTTCTAATCATAAGGGAGGGTGGAGATGTTGACACAATGTAGATAATACAGGAATTAAGAGGCCACTATATTTCAACTCTTCATAAAGAGCACAGCTTACTAATGTGTATAATTCTGTTTTTCCCCATCACTGGGTTTTCCTTTCAGTATTCTGTTTTCCAAATTTATAACAAAACAAAAAATCTGAGAAGTTTTAGCATTTCTGTGACGCACTTGGGCAGTCTTCTCATTTGTATGTGTGTCTGCACATGCAGCCTTTGTTCTGTTCATTTTCTTCTATTAAACAGATTGATATTATGCAACTCCACAAGGTATCATAGATAGCTTTCTTAAATCTTTTACTATGATTTGATCCTGTGCAGAGCTGCCTACTTTGAACTCCCACAAAATTTCTATGTTCCCTAAGCCTGTTTTTTTCTGAGCAGTGGAAATTACAATTTTTTGCCCATCTGATTATTAGATATATACAAAACTATTTTGGAACGTTAGGACTCTGAGGCCAAAATTCCAAAAGGAGGACTTTTGATTTGATTGGCCAGAATCCTGCTATATCTTCAGACCAGCAAAAGTGTAATGACATGTCATGGCAGAAACTTGCTGCTAATTAGCTGACTGTTGCTTGCATTCCCAAGGGTATGCCATTGCTAGGAGTATCAACAACAGCCTGGTAATTAGCAGCAACTTGTGACGGTGATTTATGACACTGCATTTATGCTGACAGAAATCCACAATAGGAGTCTGTCCATTGAATTTAAGTGCTTGATACCTTCCATGACACTGTGATCCCCAGAGTGATGTGCAGTTCAGAATTCAAAACAAATAATGAGAAAACAAAATGAGAAAGACAGTTTGTAGCCACAGGAAAAGCAGCTAAAACGAAGTTGGAAGATATACAAATTGAAGGGGCTGATAGAATAAAAATATCTTCACCTAGTAAAAATTAATTCAGTCCTGACCAAACTACTTAGAGATTTTATGATGTTAAGCAATGTGCACCCAGTGTGTTGTATTGGATAGAATGACAGACTAGGACTCTAGGGTTTGAATCCCCGCTCAGCTGTGGAAACTCACTGGGGGAGTGGAACTGCTAAGACCACTCTTTAAAAATCTCACTTATCTTGAAAGCTCAATTAGGGTCACAATAAGTCAGTTCTGACTTGATTGCACAGAAGAACAACAACAAACAATGTGCAAATGCCATGAAGAAATACAGCTCAGATTCCAATTGGACAAAGTCCTGCTGCTAGCAGAATACACGTATGCAGCAGGTAATGTCTGTGCTGACTTGGTAACTTTCACTACAAAATTCCCATGGTTCACCATTTATGTTATGCCAGCAATAGGATTTTGTTCATGGGTTGCTTATGGCAGCGTAAGAGCAATTGCATAAATCACAGGGATAAGTTTCTGCGAATTAATTACCATATTTTTCCATATATAAGAAGCTCCCCACTTTTCTAACCCAAAATTAAGTAACCTAAATGGGGCTTAGCAAATGTAGGGTAAAAAGGATCAAAATGCTGCCTGATGGCTTTGATCCCTGCTTTCTCCCTTTGTGCTAAGCCCCGCCTGGCTTAGCCAAAGGAAGGGGAAAGGGATCAAAATGAGTGTGCAGTAGTGGGATTGCTTTGATCCCTTTCCCCTTCCTTTGGCTAAGCCAGGCGGGGCTTAGCACAAAGGGAGAAAGCAGGGATCAAAGTGATCCTGCAGGGTTTTCATCCTTGCTTTCCCCTCCACTTGCTAGGCCTCAGCAAAAGGTAAGCCGGGATCAAAGTGCTGCAGGATCGCTTTGATCCCTGCTTTCTCTTCCATTTGTTTTTTCTCTCCTCAGCTTCTGTATATAAGACAACCCTCAATTTTCAGTCTAAAGATTTTAGAGAAAAGTATAGTCTTATACATGGAAAAATGTGGTATCAATATTTGTGTTCCTCATATCTCACCAAGGCATACTGCTGGTGTAAAACAACTTGTTGACTATTATGAATTCATCACTATTTTTGCCGTTGCACTTGTGCCATCTTAAAAAGCCAGTAGGATTTTAGCCACACAACACTTATAGGAATAAGAATTCAGTAGTTATGGGATTTCTCGTGATGGATGCTGAAGGATCTTATTTGGGTGTGGTATTTATATGGGTAAGGACAAAATTACTACTTGGGGCATTTTAACATATCATTATGTAAAAAATTGTTAGAATCTGTGACAACCCCAGACCTACTGGAGTCAACACTTATAGGAATAAGAATTCAGTAGTTATGGGTTCTAGTGATGGATGCTGAAGGATCTTATTTGGGTGTGGTATATATATGGGTATGGACAAAATTACTACTTGGGGCATTTTAACATATCATTATGTAAAAAATGGTTAGAATCTCCTTGAGAATTTCCATATATGCAAGAGTAGTAGCAGAAGCAATTCTTCTCACCTTTGGGCTGTCTTGATTGTGCATATTATTTTGCAGTCAGTACATAACTGGATTGATTAAAGATAGCTTTTGGAGTAGGAAAAGTTCCACTTCGTGTTTCCTCAAGAGGCTTTTGGCAAACGAGTTTATTTTATAGTTTTATAGAAACTAACAGGAAAAACCTCACATATGAACTTTATTTACTCTTTCTCCAGACTTCTAATGAAATGCTCTTCAACCTACGTTGATGTGGCAATTCTAAGCTTGCTTTCCACACATAGTATATTAATATCCTTTCGTAGGTGCTGTGTGGTTGGTGTCACCTAGAATAATTGTTCATTTGAAAGTGGAAAGAATTCCAATTGCCCTTTCCCCCATTTCTCTTTGTAGGTCTGTTTTGAATGTGGTGCGTTTAACCCCCAGTGGGTGAGTGTGACCTATGGAATTTGGATCTGTCTGGAATGCTCAGGAAAACACAGAGGCTTGGGTGTTCATCTCAGGTTAGTCATAGAAAAGGCACATCTCTTAATTTTTGGCTTTATAAATATTTATACCATGCTGTTTTTTTTTTAAAAAAAGTAATATCACTGGATTTCTTGATGATTTTCTTCATTTGCTTTACAATAGGTATCCACTGTTTTGTGGTATAGAAATATTAATGTTAAATGGTGAATAATATAATTTTGGGGTTGATAAAACAAGGAGGTTAAAAGGCCCGATTACCTGAATCCAGGGTGGATAAAAGTAAATGATTTTTAAAATCATATCAATTTAGATCACAATTAAAAATTTTAAAAAATGATTTTTTAATTTAAAGTTTTTAAAACCATATCAATTTAAATCACAATTAAATTTTTTTTAAATGATTTTTTAATTTAAATTGTCAAAAATATCCAATTTTTGAATTTAATTTGTGATTTAAGTTAAATCCACCCTACATGATTCTAATTTAAGGATTGCCTCTCTGTGCTTCAAATAAAGAAAGAGTGGTAAAAAGTAATCTTTAAGATGTTGGTCACCTGAAATGTCAATTCATTTGAGGTATCCAGTATGAAATACCTGTGGAAGGAAAGTAAGTGCAAAACTGCTAAAAAATGTCTGAAAAATGTCTGTAATTTTTCCCATTTAACAGTAACACTAAGTTGTTCGAAAGCAGAGTTATATATTTAATTTTGGCACAAGCTGTTAGTTGTTCAGAAGGCATTCCAGGAGCTACAGGTTTTTGTGGACCTCCTCCTTTGTTGGTGAAGAGAGAGGTTCGTTTGCAGAAGACATGGTCTTCTCAGAGGCAACTTCATTATGAAGAGGGAGACCATTGTTCCTAAACTGTTGGTCCTCCAGCAGAAGTAGAGTAAAAGACATAATGCCAAGAGCAGAACTAGGAAGACCTTGAGACCTACAGAACCAAAGCTGTCCTACCCCCTCAATGCTGCCACAAAGAAGTCAATCTGGAGCTGGCGTAATTTTCCCATCCCAGCGGAAGCAAGGAGGGGGAGATAGGAGGACGAAAAAGAGGCTTGTAAAAAGCTGCCCAGCACCACATGGCTCCCTACCTGGTGTGAAACCAGTCAGGCACTAGCTCTACCACAGATTCTCCTCTACAAAGACTTTAGAATAATTCTGCCCAGAACTGCATATGTATGGCTGTTTTGTTTTCATTATCTAGGCAATGGTTCCCAACCTTTTTCGAATCATAGCCCCTTTTTATAATATACAAGTAACTACCGTATTTGCATTAAAAGGCATTTTTATTTTTATAATATACAAGTAACTTGTAATTCCCCTACCGTATTTGCATTAAAAGGCATTTTTAATGAGTTAACCATTCTCAGAAAGTAGTGACTTCTTCTCCTAAAGGGCTACAACACATATAAAGTGACCTGCAATCCGAAGGGCTACATACAACACATGTAAAGTGACCTGCAATCCCCCAGAAAACAGTCTGTGACCCCCTTGGGGGTCCTGGCCTTTAGGCTGGTAAACATTGATCTAGGAGGTGTTTGGAAAATCTTCTGGTGTGGTGTATTGACAGTAAGCTTAATTACATGGATAATGTAATAATTGAAGACAGTTTTTGTGTGTGTTTGGATTTTTCAGTTTTGTGCGCTCTGTTACTATGGATAAATGGAAGGACATTGAGTTGGAGAAAATGAAAGCTGGTGGTAATCTTAAATTTCGAGAGTTTTTAGAATCTCAAGAAGATTATGATCCTTGCTGGTCACTGCAAGAGAAATACAACAGCAGAGCTGCAGCACTTTTCAGAGACAAGGTAAATATATTTAAACCCTATAGCATTAATAGCCTTAGAACCTGATTGTGAACCTGGGAAGCAATGAATGAAAGGAACTTGACCAGTGAGACCGAAGCTCTATCCAGTGCAGAATTCTTTTTCAAAAAGTGCCGAAGTCAAGTGGATGCTTCTGGGAAGTATTTACAGAAGATGTAGGCAAAGTGGGGCCATCCACAGACATTGTTATGCTACAGATCCCAGTGTGTAAGCCAGAATTATCAATAGTGAGTAATGTTGGGAGTTGCAGTCCAGGCAAAAACAACTGGGGGGCACACTCAACATACTCCTCTATTTAAATAGTGTGCAAAGTCATCAGCTTTTCACAGTTGGGCTGGGTATCTCCTGTGCCTTGGGCTCAGTGCATTGAGTATTGAGATTCTATTAGTTCTCATGGCTAATACCTCATGACAGATTCTGTCATTCATCAACTTGTCTAGTCCATTGTTTTTAACCACCACCTTGTGTCATGATATCAGGACATTAACTAGTCTTTTGAATATATAGTTGCTTTCCCAGACGGTAATATAAGGTTTTGGGGATTGCTGTGCAGAAGCAAATAGAATGGGGATCTGTTAAGTCTCTTTCCTTTTAGGTGGCAACATTGGCTGAAGGTAAAGAATGGTCAATTGAAACATCACCTGCAAAAAATTGGACACCACCTCAGCCCAAGGTTTCTCTGTCCTCAGCTCATCGGTAGGTGTTGTCTTATACATAATTGCTTTATTTTAAAATGGCCATTCTGATCACCAGAAGATGCATATTGTAAGGATGCTGGAGAATCTTGTGAGCACACATGGCTGTTGTAGTAAGCTGAGGCAACATACTTCCATATATTGTGTTATCTATATAAAGCGTAGTATGACATCACTGCACTCGGGTTGTTTATCAGTTATGTTAAGTGATGTGCGCATGTGATAGAAAACCTCAACAGCCATGTTACATTTCCATTTCACTGCACCTTTGGCAGGGATGGAAGGACATGTGGGGCTACTGCTTTTTGTTTACATGTAACGTGTGCAAGTCATGAATAACATCTGACTCCAGTGTATGGTATGAAGATTTTACTGGAGACTAATTCTGTCAGAAAAGAATGCCATAGATAAGTCTAAAATGGTTTCCTGCCAAGGTTTTAGTTATTTAAATTTTTTGTCTATTTTTTTCTTAATTTCTAAGAATCTGACTACATTTCTGCAGTGTGAAAAGCGAATTCACATTGAATTTTTCTGAAAGTCCATTTCTTATATTACACACACACACAATTCATTGAAGTAGAGTTAAACCTTTAGAATATAACCCCTCCCCACACAAAAAAGTTTGCTGTTTTACTTGTACAGATGTGACATGCTTTTTTCTCTGTGAAATAAATTGTGTCATCAGCATGGCTTTGTAACCGTTTGAGTGTTCTTCAAAGTAAATCTTCAATGGTGTTTGTGATATAATGGCAGGGATAGGAGCTCAAGTCGCAAGGCTCTCTTCTCAAGTCGGACTTAAGTCACACTAGTGACTGCACTCAAGATTCCCCCCCCCCCCAATTATTGAGACTCAACTTGTGACTTGGAAACCACCCCCACTCTCCGTTTTTTTCTGGGGTGGAGGGTAAAGCTTGCTTTTAATAGGAACTCAGACTTGAACCCAAGACTTGCTAACCCCTGACTAATGCTTGTTGCAAGTGATGAGAACTCGAACTTGAACCCAAGACTTGCTAACACCCCTGACTAATGCTTGTTGCAAGTGATGCATTTATGATGGCATAATATTTTGATGTAAAGGTAATATATGCAACTTCAGTTCCATTGCTTTGTATGTCATAAAAGTTTGTTTATGTTTTTAAAAATCCTAAAAATGTAACACACTCCTAACTGTGTTTCAGAACTTACAAACCTCAGGCCAGCTTATACTGATTCTGTGATTACTGAAAGTGATTATGTCTATAAATAAGGAGAAGATCTTGGGGAAGTGATTTCCTGTGTTATATGCACAGGACAATATCTGTTTGTGGAAGTGCATAATTGTTTGTAAAAGGTAATAATATTTTTGTTTTCTGTTTTTTTCCCATTTCAGAAGCTCTGCTGGACAGCAGCAAAATACTGGTGCTACATCTGACAAAGCATTTGAAGACTGGCTAAATGATGACATTGGTTCCTATCAAAGGTAAAAAAAAAGAGACATTATATTTCAGTTAGATACAAAATTCTATAAAGGTGGCTAATGAGAGTGATTATTCTTTCCCCTTATTGTGCCTTCTGTGTACCCTGTGTGGTAAAAGCGTTCCTTAGAACTGCCCTTACACGGGACAGAGAGGGATCCAGGAATGATCCGTCCCTATCTCAAGCAAAATCGGGTCCTGTAACTTTGCTCTAGGCGACTTCTCACCCTTTCGCCCAAGTCTGTCCCGATTTTAAATAAACAATGTCTAGGAGCTCTGGAAGATCTAATCTTCCTTTCATTAATCTAGGACCCTAATTTGGTAGCGTAATAGGGCCAGATCAAAACAATCCTAGTTCCAAAATATCCAATTTACTACAGTAGCTTAGTCTAAACAAGGAGACAGCTTACAGACAATTTGTCTTTTTATATTTTATTACAAAAGATATCATCTCAACAAGCTCATTTTAATGTCATTCAGTATTTCCAAATTATTTCCAAAATAACCCCCAGCCTTAGCCACCAGTCATTTCCTCTATAAAGTGAAAATAATTAAATGTCTAACTATATCTTAAATAAGCATTCTTACGCAATCTTCTGATTAAAGTTCTGCCAGACGCATCTCTCTCCATGTGTCGTCTCTGGCTGTCGTGAAAGCAAAACTCTCCCCCATCTCTCTTCTCCGTCCTCTCTTACTCTCTTCGCCCATCTTTCTTAAATTAAGCCGTTGTGTCCTTGTCCATTGGAGTTTTGATAAGATAAGGGTCAGCTTGTTCTTCTTTACTTTTTTTCTCCTTCTGCTGGAAAAAGAACTGACCTTGTACAATTTTTTCTTCCTAATTAACACCTGGACATCAGCAGATTTCTAACTTTTTCGTTGCAGCTCTGAAATAAATCCTATGAAATACAACTCTATTCTATTTTCATAATCAAATTCATGACACCCTGTGCAACAATCTCTGCCACTGAATTATCCACTCATTGTCGGGGGGAAGGAAAGTTGCTTCTTATTGGACTTCTCTAGCAGCACAATTCTCTTACTGGATCTAGTCTTATTTATCTAATCCATACATACAGCAGTTAAAATACCTGAAAGGATCATCTGCAAAGGTTTATAATGTGTGAGAGACTTTCTGTCACTTTAATACTTTGCTATGCAAAAGACTCAAAAGGGTAAGGGTTAAGATTCTTAATTGTGTAAGCCTAACCAGTATTAATCAGATTTTGCTTAGAAAACTATACATTGCGGTGTATTATTGTCCTATAGATCAGCCTCCCTCAGTCTGGTGCACTCTGGTTGTGTTAGATTGCAGATGTCTCTGAATTACTGTCAACTCCATAGTCTGACCTAGCTGTTTAGTTGAACATTAATAGAATAGAAGGGCTCATTTGTGAAGGCAGCTGATCTTAAGGAAAGAGCTTATATTGTAGACCACTAGAAATGTTTGTGAAAACTATAAACCATACAAAGAATAAAATAAAACTCAGCAAGGGGCTGTCTGCTGCTGGTAATTTATTCCGTGTACTAAATGATGTATACTTTAGTTTAGATTATGTTAATTTCATAGAAATATGTTTTGATCATATATACCATTTCTTCATATTGAATGTTTTGTTTCAGTGGTCAAGAGAATCGTTATGTTGGGTTTGGAAATACAGTTACTCCTCCAAAGAAAGAAGATGATTTCCTTAATAATGCCATGTCCTCGCTCTATTCTGTAAGTAGACACTTTTAGTTATATCTGTTCTTGAAAGGTGTGGTCTTACTGTTCTGATAGATTAAAATATTGTAATTAGAGATGGGCATGAACCAGTTCGTCCCGGTTCATAAAGGTAGCAGCACAGGTCCTACTGCTCCCATCCCCAGCCTCTGTCTCAGCCAATCAGCCACTCACCAGGCCCACCTGCTGCTCCCCTCCTCAGCCGATCAGCCACTCACCAGGCCCAGCTTGATTGCTTTTTCCATCTGCTTAGATAATCTCCTAGTCATGAGCTAGAACACAGACTTCTCCGCCCTATCCTTTTGTTTGAGTGGGAGATCAGCCAAGGGGACAGGGCAGAGAAGCCTGAACTGTTTCTGGGACTGGAAGATCAGTTCAGAAGGTGCTGGAAGCTAGCACTCTGGCCTGATGAGTGTCTGATTGAGGCAGGGGAGGTTGGAGAGGGGAGCATCAGTACCTGTGCTGCCACCTTTATGAACCGGGACAAACTGGAATGAACCACTTTGTGCAGATTCTAGTTGTAATAGTTAAAAGCTGAAAAACAGTGGAAAACATGTGGTTTTGGAATGATTATGTTAATCTTGCAAGTGCAATGTTCAAAGGGGAAGACCTGCCCAATGCAGACAAAGGGGGATTTTTAAATATTCTTAATGATGGACCAGATTGTTAGAACAATAAATATCAAATTCTTGCTCACACTCCTATTGAAAGTTTATCTAATTGCTCTGTTTCACTTGCCAGTATGATTACTTGTAACTACTGTGCCTCTTTTTGCTGACTAAGCTAATGGTTGTCTATGCCAATTTATCTTGCCCTTAGGCTAGTACTTCAAGAAATGTTCCAAACACTGTTATTGATATGGAAGGTTGATGGTTGTCTATGCCAATCTATCTTGCCCTTAGGCTAGTATTTCAAGAAATGTTGAGTCAGTATTCAAAAGTCAAATTGTGTAGGATTATTTTCATTCTTGATTTCTCCCCACAAATCATCTCTCTCTCTCTCTCTCTCTTGATTCTTGATTTCTCCCCACAAGTCATCTCTCTCTCTCCCTCTCCCTCTCTCTCTCTCTCTCTGACTTCTGCCTAACTCTTTCTCATACTCAAGGTATCTAACAGCCTACATACAAACACTAAATAAATAAAAAAATTATAGAATAATCAAGTTGGAATAGCACGCTTTGAAAGACTTGAAAGACTTACAATATGGTGTCTAAAATTGCAAAGTCTGCTAACATATTTTAAAAAGCAGTGCAAACCAGCAGCAAAAACAAGTCACATGCTTGCTTATTCCACTGATGTATGTTTTTAAAATTCGTACCTGAGAGACAAATCGGTAAGGAAAGTGGGATCCCTGACAAGAGAATCCCTGATAGACGAGAGTTCCATCACCAAGAATGGACAAAGATCTATTCTTTCTCTTTCCAAATCCATGTTTTTAAAGTCATTTTGAAAATGAAAATATTTTCTGATTAGAGGTATTTTTCAAATAAAATTGGCTCATCTCACATATGGACTTCAGAAAAGGGATAAGGTATCTGGAAATTTCACTGCCACAAGCTGATCTTGGTCATTTGGAAAAAAAAGCAATAGTGAAAAGAGGATTTTTCCTTTGATTTTATTTCGCATGAGAAAAATTTTTCCATTCTTCATTACTGGTAATAATAATGGTAGTAAATATGGAACTAGTCGAGAGGGAGTGGCTTTAAAATGTGATATTAAAGTTATAGATAATATCTGTAAAGTAGCAAATCTCATGTAAAATCTCACAAATTAAGTAACAGACATTTCACATTTTCAGTCCCGCTTCCCTACCACCATGGTTAAGCCCATTGTTTTTGTTAGGTATTGTCAAGTCACCAGTGACTTACCAGAACCCTATGAATAAGTGACCTGCACAATGTCCTGTCAGCTGTTGTCAGTTCTTGCAAATTCAAGACTGTAGTTTTTCTTTGGTTGAGTCCATCCGTCTCATATTTGGCCTTTTCTTTTCTACTGCCTTTGACTTATCCCCAGCATTACTGTCTTCTCATGATAAGCCTAATGTATGGTGGCCTCAATTTAGTCATTTTTTTGCTTCAAGAGAGAGTCGATCTAGGCTTGCCTTTCTGGTGGTCTGTGGTACCCACAAAGGCCTTCTCTAGCACCATGTTCCAAATGAACTGATTTTTTTTCTTGTCAATTTTCTTCACTTTCTGGCTTTTACATTTGTACATACTGATCACGCCAATGCTAACTGATCAACAGTGATGTGAGGGTCTCTCTCATTTTGGCCCTTTGTGGATGTTCAAATAAAGAAACCGAATACATCATGCATTAAAACTGAGTTTGCCTTTACTTGCAGGGATGGAGCAGTTTTACCACTGGAGCAAGCAAGATTGCTTCTGCAGCTAAAGAAGGTGTAAGTTAACACTATAATCTATAACATAACATGGTAAGCAATCTATTTCTGATTAGTTTGGCTGTGTGTGCCTCGCTTGGGGGAGGAGCCAAGTAACATAGACAATCTTATATGTGCGAACACAGCTCTTATTTCCTGGAAACCAAGATTCTCCAGAATCTGAGGTTACTCTTCTTTCAAATCCAGCCACTGCATGATGGAATAATTACTGCATTATTACACAAATAATAATGATGATCATTATGATAACCAAGATGTATGAGTCCTCCTGAGAGACGAAGGCTTTGAAATGTGGCTTTCTAAGAGATCTGCGCTGCAGGCTATAAACATTGGTAGCCAGGACTATTTACAGTATTTGCCCAAAATGGAACTTCCTCATATTCAGAGCTGGGAATTCTTGCATCTTGATGAACTTCTCCTGTATCATTCAACTACCAGTTCCTGCCTCCTTTCCCTCATCTTTGTGGAACAGGTTGTTGCTTCTGTTAGATTTTAAACAAAGGTTGGTTCTGAGTACAAAACAAAATATAAGATCAGATGACATGTATAGTATGTAAATGCACTAAAGATACTTTTATGCTAAGCATTTACTGTGAAAATGATATGACACCCTTGTCACAAGGCATCCAAACAACATTTTTATCCAACCCCTGTCATTCTCTGTTTTCCTTGTAATTATTCCATTTCATCTTTTATAAGAAGAGAAGAGTAGTGCAGCTTCAGTATTACACCACTATTGAGTGTAATATTATCATACCTTGGGTGAGGATGTTATTTTTTTGAAAAAAGAAAATGTCTTCTGGCTATATATTTTTTAATTAATTACCTGTAGATCTAAATAAAACAGATTATAATGCTGATTTAAACAAAACATTAAAATACCTAATACGTTTCCACTTCATGACTGTTTTACATATATAGTAGAGGTGGACCAAAGGGAACCACCACTCAGGGAAATAGTTCCTGGGAAAGCTGATTAACATTGCTCCTGATCAGTAGGTTTCAGCAGATTTTTAGCAGTGTAGTCTTTCTTTCCTCCATATATGGGGGTTGAGGGATGTGTTTAGAAATGGCTATTTTAGTGTCCTGACTCTTCAGTGCTCATATGGCCATGTAACACCTAAATATGTGAGAACTGCTTAATGCAGTTATAAAGTGAATACCTCTGTATTACAGAAGGTTAATTGTGGCATAGCTCAACTAAAACAATGCTTGTACATTGTCCTGCCTCTCAAGCAAGGCAAGTTTTGAAATTATTTGTCTTTAAATATCCTTAAGATTGGCAAAGGTTGTCCATCATTTTAAAGCATGGGAGAGTGTTAAGAGCTGCAGAGTGTTCTGTAATTTTGAATCTTGAGGCAGAAATATGATTGTGAAACAAGCAGTTTTTCCCTTTGTCAACAGGCTACCAAATTTGGATCCCAGGCAACTCAAAAGGTAATTATCACATATTCCTTTCTGTGGTTTATGCAACACTGAAATTCTTCACTGACTCTTTTCCTCAGTTCAGATTTTCTTGGAATGTTTGCAGTCTCGTGGATCTTCTTTGAAAGTCGACATATTAGATTCCAGTTTTAGAGATATAGTGATGAAACCATCATGGGCATTAAACTTTTCTTTTTCCTGAAACAATGGTTAAAGTAATTTGCAAGAAGTAAATAGATTTGTGTCGTGAAACAGTCCGATGTAACATCAGAACAGACATTAAGATTATCTACTCTTTTGATGAAAGATCATGTTCATACAAACCTAAATTTCTCCATGTTTTTGTTATGGAATAGCCCCATTACATTAGAGCAGCAGGGGATAACCCAAAGTTCTTGGCCCACAACTCCTAGAAAGCCCAGCCAACGAAGTTGGTAGTGAAGGATTCTGGGAATTGCAGTCCAAGAATACCTGGGTTACGCAAGGTTGGGAGCCTCTGCGTTAGCGTATCCCTTGGTCATAAGATCTGCGATGACCCTGTACTGTTTGATGCTTCTGCTCCCGTGAAGGCTATAAGCTTAGTGCAGCCCAGCTTCTGGAAATGATGTTTGCACTCAAACATCTTGTGACCTTTCTTCTAGGATTCAGTTTAACTGTCAGAGGAGCTGCCTGCATGAATATCACGTTATAGCAAACTGTGCAAAACAAAGGTTTAGCACGCTTTGGTGCATAACATTTACTGCACATGGTTGTTCATGGAGAATAACATTAATTGTAACCATTTTAGAAGCTAAAAATCTATGTTCTCAAAAGAAAAATGCAGTAAACATTCCTTGGCAGATCCTGAGTCTACATCTGAATACTGTATAAGGGCTGCAGATATTTATCCCTTAGGTAGGATAGCAAAAACTTTGATATCACCCCCTTTTTACCCCTTTGCTGCGTCCTACAGAAGCCAGAGCTACCTATTTCTGATGTTAAGTGTCATGTTAGTATCAACATGCATATCTATCCAGAACGCTGTATTAATAAGCCATCAGCATCAATGCTCGCTTGCTCTCAGCCATAGTTATTAAAAATGTCATCAAGTTGCCCCAGTTAGAAATGAGAACTGTTGCTTCCCAGCTTATGCTTACTCTGGCTTACCTTTCAGCCATGTCTGTAATATATTTAATTTGGCAGTTCAGTTTGCCTGCTAAATGGCAGACCTGGCCTTTTGCTTGTCAGTAAGGTACTGGTGTGGGAATAAATATGCATTCTTGCCTAGGAAGAAAGAATGCTTTAGATCTTTTGCTAAAAGCTGCTTCTTCTACCTCCCTTGCTCTCTTCTCTTTGCTGCCTGGGTGTAAAGTTTTGGGGCCACAAACAGCAGGCAGAGCCGGTAAAGCCCTCTATTCTCATGCATGGGTGCTTTGCTACTGTGCTGATTTTGTACATGCTGTTGCTAGCTATCTTCTTTTGTTCACCTATCCCCTCCTTGAAACCAAGTCATTTTTGTTAAACAGTGTTGTCTGCATTTTTCTGTAATGTCTTCTATGGCTTGTTAAAAATAGGCTGCCTCAAGCAAATGTCCTCAGTTTTGCAATCCATGCTATTTTATAAATGTTCACCTTAACGACTTATTTGCTATGAGGATGTGGAGGGGTTCATTCAAAAATGAGATATATCCAGAACTATATTTGCATCAGGGAAGCATTTGGAATTGGGATCAATGACAAGTGTTTCACAGAAGACTTCATTAGTGGGGTAAAAATGGTTTGTAACATTCAGACCTCAGTGCTGTGTCTCTTTTAGTATCCGCTGGCAATCAGAAAGCCATATCAAGAAATGAGGCACATCTGTTCTCACAAAAGAAAGATATTGATAAGATGGACTTGGTTAAACTGTCAACAGAGTCTTGATCTCACAGCCTCAGTAGGCATGATGAGAGTTAAAGTTGTAACTATGTCCCCACTAGATACTTGCGATACAGTGAGAGTTGTCAACCAAGGAAAGATGAGAAGAAATGTTCAGAAGGTTTTCTTCTTGGTCTTGGGTATTCATTGAAAGGACCATTGGTCATGTCCTCTAATCATTGTCCCTGGTGCCAGGTCTAAGCACATAGGCAATTATTACAACCAAGTGTAGCAATCTGGATCTCAGTATCATAAAGAAGAAATCAGATGCCCAAAGATAAAACAGCTCCACATTACTTTACTAAAAGAACCAAGCCAAAAGTATATTCCTTTATTACTCTGTGTGCACGTCTGGCTAGTAATATACTCCTCCCCCCCAGCAATTTGTTGGGCATAACTTCATGCAATTTAGCATAAAGTTCAAAGAGCAACTGTTCCTACAGGTCTAAAGAAACAGAAAAGGGTGAGAGGAGACATATCCTCCATTCCCAGCTAATAGGCCACCACCGATCCATGAAAAAACGGAATCATAAGAGAGATTCCTTTTGTTAATTTTGCCTGTCAAAAATATTAGGTGATCTTTTGCTAATGACAAACCTTGACTCTAGAATAGAAGCTTTTTTTTTAATCTCTTCCAATAAAGTGGTTCTGTCAGGTTTTTTTTTTACTGCGTTTTTACATATTGGTGAAGAGCATCAGTTTTCAGCTGTGGAACCATTTTTGGATCCTGAATTCAGCCATATTTCCTAGAGAAAGAGATTCTTACCAAGATGGGTAAGAATGCCAGTTGTGTATTAGATCATATTTTATGTAATTGTTGTATATCACTTCCTTAAAGAGCTTTTTGGTTACATATTACTGTATTTTGCCATTTGGGGACTCACCCCCCTCCCCAAAAAGAATGGGTAGCCACTTGCAACCATGGGGTGCACATTTTGCCCGCATCTACTTTAATAGTCTCTTAGACTGCTCCTTTCTCAGTCTCTTCCTAGTGCAGAGGCTTGCTCAAATAGTCAGTTCAGGGATGTGAGATAGCTCTCTTGTCTTGTGTATCTCAGTGTGTTTTTCTTTTCTTTGTTATTTTGCATCTTGTATGCTTTAAGCTCACTGTGTTGCTTGTTTTGGGCAAAGCATAGGTCTCTTCTGTCCTGCTTTGCCCTGCCTCCTCTTTTGAAAGTCTAGCTACTAGCTACTTTCCGTGGCAATTCATGTTAGATGTGTCCTCCGAAGAAAAGTATAACTGACATTTTTGTTTTGCTTTTAACTAGGCTTCAGAGTTAGGTCAGAGTTTAAATGAAAATGTTCTCAAACCTGCGCAGGAAAAGGTAACTTCAGAAATGAGTATATGACTGATGATTTTGAATGTCATGTCCTTCCTCTGCCTATAGCGGGTTATCCTTCTTAAGCACTCATAAATTAGAATATATATAGTGTGTAGATAATATTATGTGCCCCCCAATGCAATCTAAAAATTAGTCCTTGTCAGTATTGTCAAAGCCATGCTGGCATATTACCCTTCAGGATACTTGCAGCTAAAGTTCTAGCTGGGTAAGTCAGTCAGTGTAATACTGTACTCCTCTTCTCCATGTTATCATCTTTTCCTCTATAGTCCATCTCTCTGAAACTCCTAGCCAGAAACCTCTTGAGAGTCCCAACTAGAGTAGACGCACCGAATCAGTGAGATTTAAAGTGTTGACTTACCTTTCAATAATTGATTCAACTATTTGTGACTCTGGTATAATCTTAGATTCTTAGAACTGCAGAGCTGAAAGAGACACTAGATTAATTACTCCAGCTCCTGTCAAAGAGGCACAGTGGGGTATTGAACTCCCAACCTCTGACTCTAGAGCCAGAGACCTAAACCATTGAGCTATCCAGCAGTTTTTCACATTTTATTGATATCTCCCCCCCCCTTCCTAGGTGCCCTGTGTCAATTTTATTTTGTCAGTCTGTGATGTAGGCCAGACTAATGATGAGCCTAAGTAAAAGGGGAGTTTCATGGCTACATGATTCAGACGTGGGTCTTGCACATCCTAGTCTGGAATTTTAACTACTGTACCCCACTGGGGAATTCCCCCCAGGCCTTTGATGCATAAACTGCCACCTCTTAATACCAGTAAGCAAACTTATTTGATCGTTTGCATGGAGGGAGATCTGGGGTGGTCCTGGAGGATGCAGAAGTCCCCCGAGAGATTCATGAAGTTGTGGGCTGCATGCTGTCTCCCCAGCCCTCACCAGCTTTATAAGAAAAGCTTGGAGTAGTTAATCCATGAAATCTTTATGTATTGGAATAATACAAATATCGCATAAAGTATGTTTGGGGGAGGGGGTCCAACCCCAAAGCAAAAGTGTGCAAAGCCATTCCACTGTACTGAGGGTTACTGTAGGAGTATATGTAGGATTATCTTTAGGGTTAAATTTATATTTCTTGAGCCTTCTGACAATTCCAGAACCTAGTGACCAACTGTTGCATTGGCTAGAGCAAAGTACTCCAGTGAAAAACTCAGGAGATGCATTGGAACAATATTCACTTTAGCCTGTCTTTAAAAAAAACATAACGTGCTACGTGGCCAGTGGCTGGGATGCAGAGAAGTTTGGTACTGCTGTTCTGATTATAGTGCTGTAGAATGCATAGGCTGTGGGTCTGTTTCTGGGTGGATTGGGAACAGAACAAGACTTTGGGAGATTAAAAAATCCTCTTCTGGTGCATGAGACTTGACCACAGTGAAATCCACTGAACATTACCCCAGAATATGTGTGTGAATTTGCTTTGTTTGAAAGGATCCTTATATTGAAAAGAGATGGGCACAAACTGCAGTTCGGCCGGGTTTGGCGCAATGCCTGCACAGGTGTTCTGTGGGTGTTGTACGCTTCTCTGCCCCCTTTTCTGTGTGATCGGCCACTCACTGGTAACAGAGCACTCCTCTCCTCCTTCCTTCCCTCTCTGCCTTTTCTGTGCAGTTATTCACTCAGGCAAGGAAGCAGGGCAGGGAAGCCGAAAATACTGCTTGTGAGTGAGCAGTCCAGCCGGGGAGGGAAGTGTGCGGTTCCTGCAAAACATGAGCTGAACCAGTCTGAACTGCCAGGCAGCAGTCCATGCCCCTTTCTAATGTTGGCATTTGCCTCCATATTGAAACCGTGGGAGAGGCATATTGAAGTTGTTTTAATCCACCTTGGGATGTTTTCAATGTAGCATTTTTCCTTTCTGCATTCTTACAAGGCTCTGTGAAAAAGCTACGTGAGACTTTTTAAGTCTCTGGGCAATCCAGGGCAAATGCTCTACGGAGACACCATGTTGCAAAACTAGGAGCGGGAAGAATTATTAATTACATTAGTCTGTGCATTCAGGAATCAAGATCTATGATAACAACAAGTAACTTCTTCTCAATTGAGGTACATAATATTTTTAGATATTTTTAAAAGTCTTAGAAAAGGCTAAGCTTTGCATAAAAATTGAATGTAGTTCAATTTTTTGGTTATAAGCAAATAGCACCTCAAACCTTAGTTTATGCTTGCCTCTTACTTGCCTGATAAGCATTCTTTGGAACACCTTGCATTATTTGCTTCTTGACCATGAAGTTGCTCCAAAATCTTTGCATTCCCTAAGGAAGCTTTCTCCCAAATTTTAACAGCTTGTAGGAGCAGATTTAGTGCATTCTCTCTTCTTAACTTCATTATTTATAGATGAAAAGATCAGGTTTTACTTTTGGTGTAACAAGCTTTTCTCACAGGCTGTTGTGATCTAATTATGGACATCTTGATTCATGTAGGTGAAAGAAGGAAAAATATTTGATGACGTTTCCCAGGGAGTCTCACATTTGGCTTCCAAGGTATGACGTGGCCTTCTAGGAGGCCATACCTTAAGCCAGTCTCCACATTCCTTTTGCATAAAGAGCTGAAGCACAATGAATCAGATTTCTTACAAAAGTAGGAGCCTTGGAAAATCTCTCTCTCTCTTCCTTTTGCCTGTGTATGTCCAACGACACACTATCAAGACCAAGGTCATTTTGAAATTGACTTAATTATAGTTTTGCATCAAGATTTAGGGAGAAGCATGATCTCACATGGGCATTTATTCCATGACTGAGGTAATGTGTGGATCAGGCCTTCCATGATACTTGTCATTATCAGTATCTAGTAAAGAAATTGATATTTCAAAACATCTGTACCATTGATGTGACACACAAGATTTAGAAAGAAATTCTAATTGCAACTTAATAAAGATGACATTAAAGCATTTTTAACTACAGCAACATGTTGAGACCAGTTGGCCACCGCTGGGCTTGTAAAGGAATGTGGAAACAGCTTAAGTTGAATACAAATCCTTCTAAACCTTGTTAATATATGTACCCTCTTCTTCTCCTTCTGTTCTTGCTGCCACCGCTCAATAAAACTGGTAAGTGCTAATGCATCATAATTTGTAAGTGATATTTTGCTTTAAAACTGTTCAGATACAGTGTTTTCAGAACAGTGGTAAACATATTTTTCTAGTATTATCTGTGCTTATTCTGAAGAATATATTGCATCTACATGATTGTTCTCAACATGTCCTAGCTATTGCCATCTTCGTTCTTAATTTCTGTTCTATGGAAGCTGAGATGAGCAGAAATAGTTCAAGGCTTTGCTCAGGCAAACTGAGGCCTTAGCAGCTCCTACCTGAATATTTTCTAGTTTTTTAAAATCATGCTTTTGTTTTGTCTCCCTGCTCCCCCAATATGTTTTCTATAACATAAAAAGAATGAAGACATAGGACAAGATGCATGTAGTGTCAGATACTGCTGTGTAAAGTTTGCTGATTGCATAGAATGCTGCAGTCATCCTTAACAAATAGTTGTTTCCATGTATCTTTTGGACTCCCCTCTTCCCTCTTAGTGCATGAAACTGTGCACATGGCCCTTTGGAGTTTGCCTGCACTTTTTATTGTGAAATGTTAACACATACTTTTTGAAAGGAGTAACCAGTGAAGACATACAGAAAAAGACATAGTAAGCAAATATATATATATATTGTAATCTGGCTTGACTTATTAACCAGAGTGTGATACTCTGAATAAAGATGAGTGTCAATTTTGTCTTCCTTCCATAGACGAAATTTGTTGCGTGGCACCACAGATGTTGCATGACCGTTCTTCCCAGCTCCCAGGCCAGCAGGGGACACTTATCGGTCATTGCGTGTTGTCTAAGTCCTTCTGCTCCAGTGGCGTGCTAGTCGGGGCAGGACCCCAGCCCGACCAGGCCAGTCGCCTCTGGCAACTGACCACTCCATCAAGGAGGCAGGACAGGGATTCTCCCTGCATAGCTGATGAGTGGTCAGCTGTCGGAGGATGTGGGGCAGAGCCATTGAGGCTCCTGCTCGGATTGGTGCGCTGCTAGAGCAGAAGGACCCTGGCAATGCGCAACAACCAACAAGTGGCTCAGCCAGCCAAGGGGGCTGGGAGAAGGGTGCCGTGTGATGAATTTCATCTGTGGGGGGGGAGGGGATGAAATTCATGCCCATCTCTACCTCTGAAGTTCTCAGAAATCTAAACGTGTGTACCAACATTTTTCATGTTACCAATTAAGCTAACCATAAGTTGTGTGTAATTGTGTGTAACTGTGTTCAATTGACTTGGGAGGCAGGTAGAGAGGTATGTGTGCATGTTGTGTTCTGGTCATTTGCTATAATGTATATATTTGATCTCTGTAACCTGCCTTTGGGTTCTCCCCCCCCCCAATCTCATTCTGTTCCACAGGTCCAGGGAGTAAGTGGTAAGGGATGGCGAGATGTGACCACTTTTTTTTCTGGAAAATCAGATGGGCCTTCTGAAAGGTATCTTCTTTGCTCTCTTTAACTGGATGTGACTGCTCTAATTCTTCTAGTTGGCTGCTGTTGTGACCAAAGGGGATTGGCATATTTATCTGTCCACTTACAAACTTGTGGTTATAGCATAGTTCAGTGGAAATCACCCCCTTTTATATACAGTGGTGCCTTGCATAGCGAGGTTAATCCGTTCCGGATTAACCCTCGCTATGTGAAAACATCGCTAAACGGAACATAAAAACCCATCGTTTAATGTGTTCCAATGGGCCCTAAACTTACCGTTCAGCGAAGTTTCCTCCATAGCGGCAGCCATTTTCGCGCCCTCGGTAAGCGAGGGAAGGGTGCGAAAACGCTGCGCGCGGCCATTTCAGGCGTCCGGCGGCCATTTTAGAACTGCCGAACAGCTGATCCGCAGGCATCGCAAAGCGAAGATTGGTAAGCGAAACGCTTACCGATCGTCGCTATGCGAGTTTTGCCCATTGGAACGATCGGTATGCCTCCGCATTAGTGATCCCGAAAAGGGGATCGCTATGTGGATTCGTCGTTGTACGGTGCACTCGTTAAGCGAGGCACCACTGTATTTGTTTATTTAGCTTTCAGTTTTTGCTCTGCAGCCAGGAGGGTTTGTTTGTTTGTTTGATTATTTATTTATTTATTTATTATCCCACCTATCTGGTCGGTTAAGATCACTCTAGGTGGTTAACAACATAAAATAACACAACAAATATATATATAAAACAATTTTTACATGGTAGAAACATTTAAACAAGAAGGGAACTAATGGTAGGAAAAAGAGAGAAGAGGACAACTTACTTACCCCAGACAAGCTCCATCTTACTTGACTGTGCTTGAGTCTGCCCTTTTCCAAGTGCTCAGAAGCAGCAGGCAACATTTTACTAACCCTAAGTACAACCATGGAAACCAGGTGCTGCATATACATTTATAGCATTTATACTTAGAGTAGCAGTGATTCCCAACCTTGGGTCTCCAGCTGTTCTTGGACTAAAACTCCCAGAAACCTTCACCACTAGTTATGCTGACCAGGAATGCTGGGTGTTGTAGGCCAAAATGCTCTTCAAAACTGGACATTGCATTCCTTAGATCTTACAGCATTCTAAACTTTGTTGCTAGAATTGAATGGAAGCAGTACCTCAAAGCTTTCACCCCAAATTCCACTTTTCCATCTGTTCCTTTTCTGTTGGAAAGGTTTCCCTCATCACCTAAATAAACTTGATGTATTTGCATTTCCCTGTCGTGATCAGAAACCTATTCCTTAAGTCCCCTGAAGCAAATTGTCACAAGTTAGTGGAGCCTCAATGTCGTAACTAGTGGCAACTAGTAGGCCTTTGGTCTAGATGGGTGTAAATAAATAAATAAATAAATTTGTGAAGGTGGGGGACTTCTTGTGGCTTACAAATCACATGATTTGGTGTGGGATGGAAAATACACACAACGACCTCCTAACTAATAATTTGCTTGGTTTTCTTACACCAGTAGGCATAAGTAATATGATTCTGGCCACAGTGGGACTTTGTGTTCCTGAAAACCATTATTAATTTTGTTGCTTAAAAGGTTTATATCCCAGTTGGACAGCATTTACTATTTCTGTCAGGCCTCATCTCCAGTTCTGCCTCAAAAGAGAATAAAACATTCTCCAAAGTATTTCTAGTTCCATCCCATTATGGCCCTTCTTGTTTTATGAGGGAACCTGTCTCTCTACTTTCTCTACCGACCAGGTTTCTAGGCAGCCATTTCCTTGTGAATCCCCAAGATATGGTAGAGCTCCTCCACCTTCTCTTCCCCCCACCGCTGTTTCTGTGGCTTCCAAGGTAGAGATGAAATAACAGCGGAACCTAAGAAAAGGCATTCTGGATTATATCAAAGGCTTATTTATCCCTGCCTAATAAATTCCCTGTAAGAGTCACATGGATAGAACAGGAGAGCAATCACAGTCTCTTGCTCATGTCCCTGAGCAACTGGCTTTGAGAGACAAACTGAAAGTAATATGAAGCCAAGATGACTAGTATTGATAACTTAAACCTCCATGAATCTTGCTAGTCTCCTTTTTAATGCCATCCAAGTCAAGATGGCTAAATACAGTAGCAGCTGTTGTGTTTCATTCCTACTGTGAACTCAGCTAGTCATTGTTGTTTTGTTATTTCCCTTCTCAAAAGGCCAACTGAGGGGGAGAGCTACCAGAACAGCGGAGGTGAAGGCTACCAGAACAATGCAGTTGACCACAGCTTTTGGGAGACCTTTGGCAACTCAGAGCCACCCAAAACACATAAGTCCCCAAGCAATGACAGCTGGACCTACGTGGACAATTCAACAGAGAAGAAGAGCTCCGATAGCTGGGATGTCTGGGGGTCAGGGACAGTTTCCAATAACAAGAACAGTAACAGTGACAGCTGGGAAAACTGGGAGACCAGCTGGGAGAATGCCGCTGGGGAGGGCAAGACCAGCAAAGCTCCTAAGAAGACAGCAAAAGAATCTTCTTCAGCTGCTGAAGAAGGCTGGGATAACCAGAACTGGTAGGACTCTGTCCCTGTCCAGCAAGTCAGAGGAAGAGTCATATCTCTGGAAAGATTTCCTAGGTGACTGGATTCATGTCCTTCTCATTTTGGGGCCTCTTTAAACCTCATGCTTACAAGTTCCATTCTTCCTCTCCTGTTTACAACTACAATAAAAAACATATTCATGTGCAGACTATTATACTTACCATATGAAGACACATCTCTCCCATGGAAATGACCTTGTGCATAAGATATATTCTCACTGTGCTGCTGTTGTACGTGGAGCATGCCACAACTTCCCTAAAGCGAGAGTTTGGAGGAAGCAAGCCCATGTGAACATACTTTCATAGCACAACGTTGCATGTGCAGTCTTACAGGATTGTCCAGCTTCTCTTTGAAGCTTATGCTGAAGTTCTTGAGAACTGAGGAGTATGACATAGAGATATCTTCAACAGATCAGTGAACTGTGACTGAAGCTGCTGGGATAGCTTTGAGTAGAGCCAAAATAATAATAAAAAGACTCCACTGGAGCAGTTCTTAGATTGATCAAGGTTTAATATTTTAAAAGAAACCCTCACTTCCATTTTAATTATATCATGACAAAGAACCATCTTGAGCTTCTTCTCTAAAACAGCTGGAAAATCAAGTAAGAGATATTTCCTGTTTCTGCCTTGGGCAATTTTCAGCAGGTGTGTAACAGATCCCGCCCCTTTTTTAAATTAAAGGACATGTTCCACCAACCTTCTCTTATACCTAAGATTCCATATGCTGTTTAGTATGTTTGTAGCAGATCTGTGTGATACAAGAAGTGGGGAATTTCAAAGGATTCGACAAGATAGGCGCAAGATGTGTTGAAGCAGAATCTCCAAATGGCAAAAGCAAAATTCTGATATACATCATTCTAATTAAGCATCAGTGTTATTTATGTTTAAATAACATTTTATTTCAATCAAACATTTATTTTAAACATTAAGCTAATTAAATAAAAAAACATTAATTTGATCCTTTGAATGCACTTATGAATGAAATCAGTTGGAAAAATTCTGTAATAGGATTTTGCACTTCCTTTCCCCCCCCCCCTTCTCACAAGCAGAAGAATGTTAAACAAGAATGGTTAGGCTGCAGCTTTCATCATGTTGGGCTGTTCTGCATGGTATTTGAGAAGAATTCAGGTATTTCTTTCCACAGGGTCTTGTGTAAAGTATATTCCTAGTGCCTGTAGTCAGTAGTCTCTTCTATCATTTCTGTATGTTTACAGCACAGTATGTCTGCCAGGATGCGGGAAATTTTGAATCACGCTATGACTGACTGAAGCCCAATAGGAATGCCAGTATAGATTCTTCAGGTACTAATGTTTTGCTTGCAAACTTCCACTTCAAAGGTTTGGTTCTCTGTCTAAGAAGGCTTTTGTCTGGTCAGCTCAGCTCATTGGCTTCTGGCCTGGCTCTTCTTGGGTGAGATTTGCCGCAGTTGTAAACATCCAAGTGCTCATGATTCAGTGAACAATGTCTGCTGTATATAAAGGTCTATACACATGTGCGAACTACCCACTAAGTATTAATAGTATCCTAGGATTTGTGTGTATTGTTCAATATGTCAGTATCTGCCTTGTAAAGAAATATGATCTTGCCGGCTTGTTCTGATGTACTTCTGCACTAGTCTTTAAGACATCCAATTAAAATGTTCCTTTAGGTTTTCCCATTATTGTTTTGGCTCCACTATTCTGGTCAGACCATCCTCTCGGGCCCTTTCAGTCTATGGTGGTAGCAATGAGGTGATCCATACCTTTTCTTTAAGATCCCTTAGAAGTGCTTTTCTCATGCCAGATGGACTCCTCTGTCTTATTTTGAGAACTCTAACCTTGTACAGCTCTTCCTTGCAAAAATAAATCTGGACATAGTTAAATGCTTTTTCTAATGCTGGTGGTTCCATCTTTGCCAACACTTTGAATCTTTCCATGTTGTCTGTTTTTCCCTTATCTCAACCCTTTCTGTTCTGCAGATGGGAACATGAGAAAATAACTGCATGTAATTCTGTAGTGCCTAGCATTAACTTATACCTGTCTTTCTTTATCAGCTCTTTCAAGGACACTTTATTGCCTGGGTTTGAAACCAATGCATGTGCTCTGCAGATCTTCCACCTACTTAAGTGTGAATTATTATCTCCAGCTTATAACTTGGCAGTAAATCTTTCAGAAACCTTTGCAAGGAACAAGGATGGGAAAATATACTTGAGCTGCTTTCTGAAGCAGCCTGTCTGAATTAATGTGATCTCTATGTTGTCAAAATATTTTGCTACTCCATGTACTGTCACTTTATAAAACATTCATGTGGCCTCAGTTTGTTTGAACAAATGAATTTGATGTATGTAAACATCCACCTTTTTTCTTCTCTTTCTTAGTTCTCAGTTTAACCAAACCTAACCTCGTATTCCAACCCCCAGGCTACATGAGATCTTGTCATTTGAAACTAAATCCTCTTTGAGACCAGATCTTTGCTTTCCATATTCTTAAATGGGATCATGGTGATGCTGCTGTCTTAGTAAAAATACACATCATAAAATCGGGAAATCATGATCAGTGTGTGAGGCGAGAAGGGTCATATAAGCGTGGCAGAAAAGTGATAATGTAGCCGTTTACCCTTGAATTTAGGTTATTATCTCAAACTAAGAGGACAGTTAATTCCCCACACATGTACATTGGGGATAGGTGGGGGAAGAGGGCAGAGCAGATCCTGATTGCCTATGGCAGGCAAACTTTTGCAAACTGAAAGGTTTTCTTTCTGGTATATAATGGGTATACAGGTATATGAGCCAGTGGGTTGCTATTCAGGGGGCTTAATGCTTTGGACTTCACCCAAGGTCTAGGAAACCTAGCAGTTAATGAAACTATGCACAATGGCCAGTTGGCAAAGTTAAATCAACAAAGAGCCTGCAATCTTAACCACAGATTTTTCGATTTTTTGCATCATTTTTCTGTTGGGAGGAGGGCAGATTCTTCATTGAAACATTATTTTCTGTGTCTAAACTGAACCGCAAATTTCTTTACACACCAGGCGAAAGATAAAAGCAGAAAGAACAAAGCTACTGCATTTTTTTAAAAAAGAGCTTAATTGTTTTTGTTTTAAAATCAATTGAAAGGGCCACTCATGGCATGTATATGAAGTAAACTAGGAAACCAATAGACATTTTAATGCTGTGCTCAATTTCAGTAACTGGTGCTTACTTAACTTTTCTAGAGATCACTATTTAAGCACTTTCAAAAGGGATCTGACACTTTCAGTACCTCATTTTTTGCTACTTTCACAACAGTGTTTGGCATTTTTGATGTGGGGCAATTTGAAGGCATACCCATGGGTCCTGCATCTCTTTGGACATTCTGACTCCCAGTACACCCAGCTGGGAACACTACAAATAACAGATGCATGGTTCTTATTTGATACAGTGCTTTAGATTAGGAAATTAGCCTATAGTGTAGTACTCAAATCTCATTGCTACAGATTAGTTGTGGTAGTGGAACTGGAAGCCCGAACTATCCAACAGTTCTAAACTTTTTATACACACTCTTCACTACAACCTGTCCTTCCCTCTTTGGACAGTCTATTGGGACTTCATTGTATCCATACTTCATAGTTTTTCTTCTTGAGTTGCGATCCAGCCACCACTTCTTCCTCTTCTCTTATTTCCAGTTCAGGCCTGACTTTCTTCCCTCTGTGAAAAGGCTTTGGAAAACATGTCTTGAAAGGAAAATATCCAGTTATTGTTCTGGAAAGATCCATGAAGATCCAAGCGATTTCCTTAGGAAGTGTCTGGGGTGGGGTGGGGTGGCATCGGGCTCAAACAGAGCCAGCTCTGTGAGATGTCAGAAAATGTTTGCCAGATGGGCTGCAGAGCTGTAGCCTAGAAAAACCAGCATCATTTTTGGGATGTTTTGAGAGCCATTCATCAAAGCTGAAGATTTTAAAGTACACAGCCATATATGTGTGTGCTAATAGGGGACATAACAGCAAACATCTTGCTGTATAAATTTGCTGGAATATCAATTTGATTCTTCAAGAATCTAGCAATTCCTCACTTGCTCTAACATTCCATTAATAGATTTTTTTTAAAGTCTTACTGTAGTAATTTGTGCAATAACTTAAACTGTCAGGTGAACTGCTTTTAGTCAAAAAAGTGAGATCTAGAGGTTCAAGATTCTTGCACTAAAATTGGCAGAAATATAGTCAGTGCTAGTTGAAGGATTCTTCCAGGAGCCATGAATACTACAGGATGGCTTCAAGAAGCTTAACTAGATATTAACCCTCCTTTTCTGAATTCAAAGTCGGAATAAGTCATCTTAGGAACTCATTTTTTAAAAAAGAAATATTATTTTGGAAATGGAGGAGGGCTATGGATTAATCTTTCAATTTTCCTGCTGTGTGTTTGTGAAGTTCACAGGAGCTGTGAATGACGTTTCTTGTTCTGTAAAGCAGTACTGTACTGTATTTGAACCTACAGTGTCATCTTAAATAAAATAATAAAGCAAGAAAAATGGAACAAAATAACTCGCGATGCTTTGAAGGCTGATTTTGCTTTGCTTTAGAAACAAATGAAGAGAAAACAAAAGAGCTGGGCATCCTGTGGGCAAAAACATGAACCCCAAGGGCCCCTCTGCTATCTTGTGTTTTGTTATGTGGAATGGTGTATGTGCATCTCCGCTGTAAATCTGTGGCTTGAGTCTAATCAAAATGTTATCACTAGCTGGGGAATGCCTCTCCTTACTAGAGGTGGGAGGTCAGCATTAAACTCCACTGGAGAGGAAATTGTGAGCTCAGGTGTTTTGTTTTGTTTTCTTTAACAAAATGCAACACCTTTTATAGGTGAAGGAAGAAGGACAATTCTACAACTTGACACATTGGAGCATTGTAGAGAAGACACAATACACTTTGCCCTTGAATTGCATGTGTCTGAACAGCACAGTTTTGGTTATACATGGATTTTTCCTAATAAATAAATAGAGATTCAGTAAATAAATATTCAATAAATACTGTGCCTCTGGCCACCCAAGACACATCAAAGGCATCAAAGTGGTCTTCTTGCCCCCAAATACAATATCTCTAATTCAGCCTCTGGGTCAAGGGGTTAATAAGGACTTCTATGTTTCATTATGCATGATACTGTATGGAAAGGATTGTCAATGCTATGGAAAGAAACCCCACCAGAGAGAACTGTACTTTGTGCATGTGTAAATCAACTGTTAAGGTTTATAGTTACGCTTTTGGGGGCGTAAAGGTTATACATGGATTTTGAACATGTCCACTAATCCTAACACCAGCATTGTTGAAGGGAGAAATGTGTAAGAAAAACAAAAAAAGTAAATCTGCTAAGAGCATGCAGGGTGGACAAGGACTGTTCCTAGTTTGATTAGACCAAAGAGATTATGTGCCTTGTAACAGTCACAAAAACTCCATGGAGGGAATCTTTGTTCATTCAAGTCTGTGCAAAATAGGCCAAAAAAAGCAATGGTTTGAATTGAGAGTGCAGTGGTCAGGTTGCTGAACCTGGACATGGGAGATCTAGGCTTTGCTTCCACTAAGCCACAGAATTTGTTGGGTGACCTAGGGCCAATCTGAATCTGATTGATCTCACATCAGTTTGGGGAGGATACACTGGAGATAACACATTTAAAAGAGGGCAACAAGGATGATCAGGGGCTGGAAACCAAGCCCTATGAGGTTAGATTGAAAGAACTGGGCATGTTTAGCCTTGAGGAAAGAAGAATGAGAGGAGATACGTTGTTGTTTAGTCATTAAGTCATGTCCGACTCTTCGTGAACCCATGGACCAGAGCGCGCCAGGCCCTCCTATCTTCCACTGCCTCCTGGAGTCGGGTCAAATTCATGTTGGTTGCTTCGCAGACACTGTCCAGCCATTTCATCCTGTGTCATCCCCTTCTCCTCTTCCCGTCACACTTTCCTAACATCAAGGTCTTTTCCAAGGAGTCTTCTCTTCTCATGAGATGGCCAAAGTATTGGAGCCTCAGCTTCAGGATCTGTCCTTCCAGTGAGCACTCAGGGTTGATTTCCTTCACAATGGATAGGTTTGTTCTCGTTGCAGTCCAGGGGACTCTCAAGAGTCTCCTCCAGCACCACAGTTCAAAAGCATCAATTCTTTGGCGGTCAGCCTTTATGGTCCAGCTCTCACTTCCATACATCGCTAATTTCAGAAATGCAATGCATGACTGAAACCATGATTAAGCAGAAGGGGAAATCAGGTTTTTGACAGAGGGCTAATTTGGGTAATATTTAGACCCAGAACCAGTTTTTGAAAAGAAAAAGCAGAGATTATATTCCCTACTAGACGTTTTAGGGTTGTACTGAAACAATTAGCACTGCTTTCCCCTTCTGGGCCACCAGAGGGAGAATTTTTACTATCAGAAATGTGCCAGTGCTGTATTGAAGAGAGGCTAGCTTTAACAGGTTTAAAATTGTTAAACCAGCAACAATCGTACACACATCTTAAAGGCTAACAATTGTTTTTAGGACATAAATTTCAGGTGAAATGAACTCTAATCCCCAAAACCAAAATGTGGCAGTTGATTACACCAACAAAGAACAAATACAGTTTGTACGGGGGCTAAATTTTATAGCAGTTTAAACCCAGAATTTGCAAGACCAACAAGTTAGAGATCGGCACAGATCTCATTTTGGAGGTTCATGCCAGTTCATCAGAGTGGCACCACATTCCCTTCTCCCATTCTCCTAGCTGGCTCCCCCACTCACCAGCTGGCATTCACTGCTATTCTCCTACTCTTTGCACAATTGTCTAGTTACACAGACAGTGACGTCTACGTTGGCTTGTTCATGTCGTGAGAATGGCTGACAGTTGGATTCCAAAAGATCTCCTGTATGGAGAAATAGTGCAGGGAAAGCGCCCCAGAGGGAGGCCAGAGCTGTGATACAAGGAGATCTGCCAGCAGGATCTGAAGGCTTTAAGAATGGACCTCAACGGATGGGAAACCCTGACATCTGAACGTTCAGCCTGGAGGCAGGCGGTGTATCACGGCCTCTCCCAATTTGAAGAGTCCCTTATCCAGCAGGCCAAGGCAAAGGGGCATTCCCAATAGCACCAAAATCAGGGAGCTGGAAAGGGGACAGATTGTATTTGTCTTCAGTGTGGAAGGGATGGTCACTCTCGAATTGGCCTTCTCAGCCACAGTAGATGCTGTTCTGAGACCTCTATTCAGAGCACGTTACTATAGTTTCTTGAGACTGAAGGATGCCATTGCCAGTTACATGGATTTCCCTTTTCCACCTCCTCTAGCAGCTACCCACTCAGATGAGGAAGCAGGTCACAAATTCCTGCAGCACTGCTTTTGAGTGGATAGTTGCTGGACGAGGTGG